AAACCCCCCACAAAAACTTAGCAGCTTAAAACAACCGGCATTACGTCAAAGTTTCTGTGGGTCAGGAATCTGGGAGTGGTTTAGGTGGGGGGTTCTGACTCAGGGTGTCTCATGAGGCTGCGTTCAAGGTGGTGGCCAGCACTGTGGTCATCCAAGGGCTGGGTGGGAGTAGGTCTGCTAGGCTTACGCACATGGCTCTTGGCAGATCTCAGTTCCTTACGTGGACCTCTCCATCCGTGCCTGGATGGCCTGAGCCAGTGACTCGAGAGGGAGAGAGAGAACAGCCTCTTGGTGGGTGAATGCTCTAGTCTTTTTATAACCTGAGCAAGTGATGAAACAGAGAGAGAGAGAGAGAGAGAGAGAGAGAGAGAGAGAGAGAAAGAAAGAAAACAGTCTCTTGGTAGGTGAATGCTACAGTCTTTTTATAACGTAACCTTGAAAATTACATCCTGTCACTTCTTTTTCTAAATGTATTTATTTTGAGAGAGAGAGAGAGAGAAAGAGCGAGGGCATGAGCAGGGGAGGGGCAGAGAGAGAATCCCAAGCAGGCCCCGAGCTATCATTGCAGAGTCCGATGCTGGGCTCGGCCTCATGAACCCAGAGATCATGACCTGGGCCAAGATCAAGAGTCGGAGGCTTAACCGACTGAGCCACCCAGGTGTCCCAACGTCCTGTCACCTCTGCTCTATTTGCTGGAAGTGAATCACTCAGTTCCACTCACACTCAGCAGGAGGGGAATTAGTCCATCTCTCTGAGGATGTATCAAAGAGTTTGTGAAACTGTCTTTGAAACCACCACGGCACAGTTTTGGGGACGCAGTCAGTACTCAATAAATGACTAGGGGGGGCGCCTGGGTGGCGCAGTCGGTTAAGCGGCCGACTTCAGCCAGGTCACGATCTCGCAGTCCGTGAGTTCGAGCCCCGCGTTGGGCTCTGGGCTGATGGCTCAGAGCCTGGAGCCTGTTTCTGATTCTGTGTCTCCCTCTCTCTCTGCCCCTCCCCCGTTCATGCTCTGTCTCTCTCTGTCCCAAAAATAAATAAAAAACGTTGAAAAAAAAATTAAAAAAAAAATAAATGACTAGAAGTTGGAATTGGTTTAGCAGACAAAGTCACGTCTTGGTGACTCAATTGGCTACGCCCTCACTTTCATCAGACCAAAGGACTTGGGGGCTCTACAGTGGATTGGAGATTACACCCAGGGAACCTCCACAAGAAAACGAGGATTTTTCTCTTTCCTTTTCTATCACTTGGGGAGGGAGGATGCTGCCAGAGATCTCCTCTCTTGTGCTGGGTCAGTCAGTCCAAATACTGAAGGACAGGAATACACATCACTTAAAATTCCCTTCTCTAGACTGGGCATGTCTAGTCCCTTGACACTGGGTGCAGGGGCTTTTCAACTTGGGAGAGGGATAAAACCATGGGCACCCCCGGGACCAGGGGCAGAGCATGTCCCCTGGGAGGGTCACCACCCCCCCCCCATCCTCTCACCCCTAGCAATTTTAAATCCCAAAAGCAGAGATGATTTTTTATTTTTATTTTTATTTTTTTTTTAAAATTTTTTTTCAACGTTTATTTATTTTTGGGACAGAGAGAGACAGAGCATGAACGGGGGAGGGGCAGAGAGAGAGGGAGACACAGAATCGGAAACAGGCTCCAGGCTCTGAGCCATCAGCCCAGAGCCCGACGCGGGGCTCGAACTCACGGACCGCGAGATCGTGACCTGGCTGAAGTCGGACGCTTAACCGACTGCGCCACCCAGGCGCCCCGATTTTTTATTTTTAAAAAAATGTTCGAGAGAGAGAGCGTGAGAGAGAATCCCAGGCAGGCTCTGCATTGCCAGCTCAGAACCCAACGCGGGGCTCAATCCCGTGACCCGTGAAATGGCGACCTGCGCTGAAATCGAGAGCCGGCTGCTTAACCAACTGAGCCACTCAGGCATCCCCCCATAGATGATTAAAAAGAAAGAAAGTATTTATTTCACTATAGAGCGTAACCACAAATTTGGACAAAAGAGAAAGGGAAAAAAAAAAAGCCTCCACAAGCCTAATACCACTACTGTTGACATTTTGTGATCTGTCCTTGCCAGAGTCTCCCCTGTGGGTGGCTTTCTAGTTTTATATAGATCCAAGTAGTTCACAACTATAATTTCATGTCCTGCTTCTTTTCGCTGGACTTTGTCACACGTGTATCTTTACCACACGGTCTTCACCTCTGGGCGTTTTTGAGAGCCGCGTAGTATTTTGTTGGGTGAATGTCCATAGTTTGCTTGACTAGTCCTTTTTCTCACTGGCACAGAGCCCAACTCGGGGCTTGAACTCACAAACTGTGAGATCAGGACGTGAGCCGAGATTAGGAGTCGGGATGCTTAACTGACTGGAGCCACTCAGGCGCCTCTACCCCTTTGAGTCGCATTAATGAAATATGGCTGGGGTGGGGGTGGCTGGCTGTCTTGGTTGGTGGAGAGTAGGACGCTTGATCTTGGGGTTGTGAGTTTGAGCCCCCCATTGGGTGTAGGGATTACTTAAGAAAGAAAAAAAAAGAAAAAAGAAATTTCACCTGAAACTAATATTACACTATATGTTAACTAAGTGGAATTTAAGAAACTTAACTATGGGCTGGAAACGTAAAACCTTTTCCTCTGGGGAATCATTTCATGGCTTCTAAACCTGGGACAGTCCTTTCTTTTGTGATAGCACCGCTTCTCCACCTCCAGTTTTTGTGTGGCTTTTTTTTTGTCTTTTGTCTTTATTTTTGAAAGAGAGAAACAGTATGTGAGTGGGGTAGGGGCAGAGGGAGACAGAGGCAGAATCTGAAGCAGGCTCCAGGCTCTGAGCCGTCAGCACAGAGCCCGATGCGGGGCTCGAACCCACGAACCGTGAGATCATGACCTGAGCCGGACTTGGATACTTAACCAAATGAGCCACCCAGGTGCCCCCAATTTCTGTATGGCTTTTAAAAAATTCCTCAGGAATTAATTTCGAAGTATAGCATGAACTAGGGGTTTGAAATGAGATTTCTTTCCTTTAAAAAAAATTTTTTTTAACATTTATTTTTGAGACAGAGACAGCATGAACGGGGGAGGGTCAGAGAGAGAGGGAGACACAGAATCCGAAGCAGGCTCCAGGCTCCGAGCTGTCAGCACAGAGCCCAACACGGGGCTAGAACTCACGAACTGCGAGATCATGACTGGAGCCGAAGTTGGCCGCCCAACCGACTGAGCCACCCAGGCGCCCCTATTTTATTTTCCAAATTACTTATCAGTTTTACAAGGAAAATACCAGGGAAGGCATCTCTAATCAGCTAACCCATGAAACCATGTCTTATGAAACACAAACAAGGCTGGCTGAAATTCTGATGGAATTCACGATCTGGCGGATGATGGGAGAGAGCAGATGTCACACAGGCGTCAGCGAATTATTTGTTGAAGCACCTTGAACTTTTATTGGCACAAGGAGCTTAGCCGCCGTTGGTAACTGGTTAGGTGTGTGATGTGTGTGACCTTACAGGACAGTCTGAATTCAAGGATTTGTTTTACAAAACGTTTTGGAAAAGGGCAGCCAGGCTGACGGGCCCCGTATCTGGTTTACATGTAATTTGTATGAACTATGGCGAACCATGCCCCCTGGGGTTAGACAGAGATCCTTAGATGGCTCAGCCCTGGACAAATGATGCCAAGTATCGCCCCAAGGAAGTACCTCCCCTCCAGGCTCAGACTGCTGAGTGTCACTACTGTAACTGCACGACTGGAGGGAGAGGGGTCTGCAGACAAGCAGCGGGCCCGGGGGCGGAGGCTGAGGGAGGAAGAGGATGTTCCCAGAAAAGGGCCCTGGATCCAGAAAGCCTGTGTCCCTTGAATTCTGAACACATACGTGGACAGTAAGAACCAGTGAAGAAGCAATCATTTAGGGTCCTGAGCTTTGAAAAATCACCATGATTATTTTATGTACAAATGCTTTCCTTTCCATGATCTACTCCTAAATGGGACGAAAATGCCTGACAGGAGTGTAGGAAGGGAGCAGACTTCTGGGGAGGAAGAAGAGCGAGAAGAGGTAAGAGAACCAGAAAGTAATCGCATTGTTGTTATTGTACAAATGCAGTTGGAAATGCCTCCTTGCTGAGCCAGGCTCCATACAAACAGCAGGTGAATCACCTCGGAAAGAATCCTCTCTGAAAGATAGCATGGTGACAGTTTTACAAAACGTGCTCGGGCAGGCCAGAGGCAGAGCGTTGTTTGGGATGCCAGAGGGCAAGGGCATGGTGCCGAGCAGGAGGGAAGAGAAGAGAACGCAGAGGTTGAAGATTAAGTCGGGGAGTGCAGTCTTGGGGCGGGCGCAGCTCTGAGTACAGCTGCTCAGGGAGAAACCTGTTTAGATAAGGTGGCTTGGCAGGAGCTGTCCCGTCTCTGCCTGGTGACAGCGGCTGGGCCTAAGATGATAAACTGGGCTGGCCCCCCTGGGTTCTGGGAACAGAGGCCGGGGCAGGGAGAGGCAGTGGCGAGGTGGGCAGGGTGGAGGCTTCAGGGCCACCCCAGACAGGGGCTCGTGGGAGTCACCTACCCTCTCTGGGCTGATATCTTCATCAAGGGTGACAGTCCCACCTGCCTGAGATGGTTGAGGACAATAGAGCGTCTGCTTTATAAAGTGCCTGCCACAAACCCTTAGGAAGATGAGGACAGTTCCGCCTGTGACACGATCTGCAGGCGGGATCCTGGTTCATCTGAAGAGAAGACCAGAAGGAAATGGAACCGCTGGGTGCTTGATGGGGACAGAACTGAGCCAGCCTGGTGCTCAAGGACAGTCCACTTGCGGACGGGCCTGGCTGTGGGAGGCGACCCCGCCTCCCAGGCACCAGACCGGAGGGGAGACCACTGGCTGGCCTCCCTCAGCCTTGACATACCCCCTGCGTGTTCTCTTGGTCACTGTGACAATCTGAGTGGTCTTCGGCAACCACAATGGTGGGACAGAGGCGCAGCTGTGGGCCTGGGTGGGAGAAGGCTGGCTGTCACAACTCTTCCTTGTTGCTGTCGTGGGGCTGGAGCAGCGGAGGCCCTGGGGCCAGGGGGCCACCCTCGGGCCCCTGGGCCCCGTCCTCGCGGCGCCTGCCCACGGTGGCATAGCCCTGCGGGAACCTGCGCTCCTCTCGGTGCCGCCGGAGGCTCTCAGTTCCCACGAGCCCCTGCGTTCTCAGGTACCCCTGCTGGCAGAAGGGAGGCAGCTTCTGGTGTGTTAGGGCAAACAGGAAGCAGGACTCTACACAGAAGCAAAAGGAGATAAATGAATAAGATGGAAGAGGAGGAGGGGCTGCCGACGTCCCGGGGCCTCACCCAGGCCTTGAGCTGGGAGCTCACTTTTGTGGGTACCTCCCATCCGATCTGAATAGCCACGGATCTCGTCCCTCCCCGAGGTTCCAAGAATAGGAGGCTTCCCGGACATTCTGGAAGAACAAGGCTCCAAATGGAAAGCAAAAACCACAGATATGACTCAGCTCCCAGGGGTCTGGGCCCAACATGGTGCTCTGCAGGGAGCCAGCCCCAGCTGGGAGCTCGGCCACCCTGAAGCAGACCCCTCAGCCTTTTCTTCTAGAAGCTGGCCTGGCTGGGGCCAGGAGCTGGGTGGTCAGTCCTATTCGGAGCTCAGAGCTGCCTGCGAGGATTTATCCACCTCAGCAATGTCTGGGTGGCACATACCGTGTGTAAAGCACTGTGCGAAGCACTGTGTTCTAAGCACCATGCGGGGCGGGCAGAGGAAACTGGTAAACCCTCGTCTGTACCACAGCAGAGAGTTGGCACACAGATCCAGTCTGCTCTATCAGGAAACAGCTGTGGATGTTTATGATTCAGAGATATGAAGAAACCACCAGAAGAGCAAGAAGCAGTTCCTTCTGGGGAACGAGGGTGTAAGTGAGAAGTCTTTTAGCTAAGCGCTTATATAACTTTCACTTACAAAACAGAAAAGACGAAATAGATAGGGGCTCAGTCTTCTCAGGGATTTAGAGACAAGATGAGAAGGAGCAAATGTCCAAAACTGTCTTGAGGCTTACATCTCAAAAACAAAAAACAACCCCCTCCCTCCCCCCTCCCCCGCCCCCCCAAACAGGCACGTTACAAAGGACGTTGTGAGGCTTGCATGGGTGAACAGGCTGTAGGGAGCTACACGGATAGTATTTCCTATTTTATTTCTGACTTATGCACGGACGGCCCATGGGAGAACGGTCCTGAGCAGGGAAGACCGCAGGTGCAGGGGAGGACGGCGGAGCGGCAGACTTCTGGCAAGCACCACCTTCCGGTGACATACGTCACCCCTTCTGCAGGGGCCAGGGGGCGGAGGAGCCCAGCAGAATCTGGGGCCAAAGCTAGCAGCTGCACATCAGCTAAGGGGGTGGAGGAGAGCCCGCTTCCCTGCCAGCTGGCCCCGAGGCGGGAGGACTCTTCCAAGGTGAAGGCAGTGACGCTCAGTGGCTTGCAGTGCTGAGCGGGATCTGGGGGGTGGGAGCCAGGAGGCTGCAAGGCCCGGAAGAGGCACTGTGGTGGCCGTGCCCCAGGGTGGGATACACTCCCTAACAGGCACGGTCGTCTTCGTGTACTCCCGAAACCTCGAGAAACAGGCAGGGATCTTTAGATCTTTAGATCGCTGAGATCTTTAGACCCGTATCACGTAATTTCCCGTGCAAGCGTGTGGTCACGGTTGATAGTCTGCGGATGCCAGCCCTTCAAAGCTGCTTAGCCCTGCGTTACGAATTACCTCTGAGCATCTACGTATATTTAGACTATGAATTTAAACTATTGTTTCAAGCCATCCCTCTCTTTAAAAAAATTTTTTTTAATGTTTATTTTTGAGAGAGAGAGAGACAGACAGACAGACAGACAGACTGTGAGTGGGGGGCGGGCAGAGAGAGAGGGAGATACAGAATCTGAAGCAGGCTCCAGGCTCTGAGCTGTCAGCACAGAGCCCAATGCGGGGCTGGAACTCATGAACTGTGAGATCATGACCTGAGCTGAAGTTGGATGCTTAACCGACTAAGCCACCCAGGCGCCCCAAGCCATCTCTCTTAATATACGCATTTTTATTTCAAAGTTGACTGAGGCTGTTGAGAGGATACCGACCATCTCTAACCTGATTTGATAGCAATAGTGCCTGATATACAACTGATGTTCAAAAGATGTTTGCTGAACACAAAAGAGTGGATGTCCTAGGCATTCGGGGGGTTTAAAAAAAGACAAAAATTTGGCTTGTTTCAATTAGTTCTCCCTCTGGATCATCAGACTTCTGTCAATGCTATCTTCCAGTTCACCAATTCTCTCTTCACCTCTGTCTAAAGTGCTACTTTATCTTTCGGTTGAGTTTCTAATTACACATTTTTTTCACTTCCAGAAGTCTTACTTGGATCTTTCTGAAAGCTGACCAGTCAATTATATTTTTTTTTTTTTATTTTTTTTTTTCAATGTTTTATTTTATTTTTGGGACAGAGTGAGACAGAGCATGAACGGGGGAGGGGCAGAGAGAGAGGGAGACACAGAATCGGAAACAGGCTCCAGGCTCTGAGCCATCAGCCCAGAGCCTGACGCGGGGCTCGAACTCACGGACCGCGAGATCGTGACCTGGCTGAAGTCGGACGCTTAACCGACTGCGCCACCCAGGCGCCCCAAGTCAATTATATTTTTAAGAATCTGTTTGTTTCCTTATATGTTTAATTTTTTAAAATTTATCTTAAAGTTTATCTATTTTGAGAGGGTGCGAGTGAGTGCACATGCATAAACAGGGGAGGGGCAGAGAGAGACAGAGAGAGTCCCAAGCAGGCTCCACACTGCCAGTGCAGAGTCTGACTTGGGGCTCAAACTCCCCAACTGTGAGATCACGACCTGAGCTGAAATCAAGAGTCAGATGCTTAACTGACTGAGCCACCCAGGCGCTCCATTTTTCTTACATATTTTAGACAGACTTTGTCTCCTCTGTTTGTAACTCTTCCAATTCCCACAGTTTTTTTGGTTTGATCCCACAGTTTGTTTTTTCTACTGACGCTCCCTCGTGTCACATATTTGTGTCCTTATATGTTAAGTGCTTTTTGCTTGGTGGGGGAGGGACACGGGTTCACCTTAACCTGGAGCTTCATCTGTGGGAATGTTTTTTTGAGCCCTAGTTTTAAAGTGTGTTTCTTCACAGAAGACTTGCATTTACTTCTGTGATTTTTGCACACTGATGGTGTGAAGTTTGGCCCCAAACTCACATGAGCGAGGCTTAGGGGTTAGAAACTCTCAGGAGAGGGGTGCCTGCGTGGCTCAGTCGGTTGAGCGTCCGACTTCGGCTCAGGTCATGATCTCACGGTCCGTGAGTTTGAGCCCCGCATCAGGCTCTGTGCTGACAGCTCAGAGCCTGGAGCCTGCTTCGGATTCTGTGTCTCCCTCTCTCTCTGACCCTCCCCCGCTCATGCTCTTGTCTCTCTCTGTCAAAAATAAATAAAACATTTAAAAAAAAAATTAAAAAAAAAAAAATTCTCAGGAGAGATTCTTCCTTACTCTACACAGAGCCCAAAAGCATGAGTTCTCCATCATCTTCTCTTGGGAGTGTTTTGTGCCTCCTAGTGGATCCACTGAGATCCAAGCTTATGTGAGAGTCTCTAAACAGACCTCCTACCCTGCTGCTTTACCTTCCCACCCGCAAGTGCTGTCAGTTACCCGGGCTCTAGGCTACTGATGATTGGTGACAGACCATGACCAGCAATGGCCTTATGCTTTTCCTAGCATCCGGCCTCTGGAGACTTCCCTTTTTTTCCTGCCGGTTCTTTAAAAGTGACATTTGGGGCTCAGTCAGTTGAGCGTCTCTTGATTTCAGCTCAGGTCATGATCCCAAGGTCATGGGATCGAGCCCCGCATCGGGTTCCACACTGAGCACAGAGCCTGCTTGGGATTCTCTCTTGCTCTTTCTCCCTCCCTCTGCCCCTCTCCCCCTCTCCCCAGCTTTCTCTCTCTCTAAAATAAATAAAATGAAAAAAAATTAAACAAAAATGACATTCAATTCAGCAACTTCAGGTGTGCTGTCCTGGGAGAGATTTCTGCAGACATCTAGTCTATGCCGTGGATAACCGAATTCTCAAGTTTAGATTTCTAGATGTGAATCCTGAAACCTCAGGGGAAACGGATCTACCTGGTCTTCTTTCAACCTCCAGCTCACTGACTCTGTCCTTCTAGGAACTTAAGTTACCTGCATAGAAGCTTCGCAGATCGGTGTCCAAACAGTTCTCCAGGAAGCGCCTCAGAGGTAAGATGTGCCCCACCGGGGCGGTCCAGTCCGTCAAGAAATCTTCCACGATGTGGTGGATGGCTGTGGGCCGAGGCAGGGCCCAGTCGGCAGGGCGGAACCTCACCTCCTGCTCTGTGGGGACGAGAGGGGAGACGGGTCAGGGCCCGGCAGGCTCCCATCCTGGAGCTGACAGCGTGGTTCCCACACATCCCAGGTGCTTGCCGCGCTCCCTCACGCTCGGCTCGCCGGCCACACTCTGCGCTGGGCAGTGGCCGGCCTGTTCAACAGCCATCTCTGTGTTTGCAAGGTTGGCACGAGGGAGGGACTGGATCTGTTCCTTGTGGTATCGGAAAGCGGAACCAAGACTAATTACTTGCACTTGGTGTTTTTCTAAGACGCGCATGGACTGAGGGCCACGGTGATTGCTTCAGAACTGCTCTCTGAGGAGACTCGGAGCCCCGCGAAAAGGGTCTGGGGGCTCATCTAGTCCAGCTTCCCACCTGGTGTGGACTCCCTTCAGTGGTGTCCCGGGCAGACGGCCATTAAGTCGCAACTCGACCATCCTCGTACTGGGAAACTCGATGTCCGGGGGCGACCCATTCCACTGCTGGACAGCTTTGAGTAGGAGTCACTCCTGATTCTGAATAGAAGCCTGCGCTCCTGTCACTTTGACCTGCTGATACTACCTCTGCCTGTTTTTAGAATACCTCTTCCCAGGGACAGCTCTTTAGTTTCCGGAGCAGGAATCACATTCCCCAGCGGGGAGGGGAGTTCATCTGTTGGTAGCTACTCTGTGCCAAGCACCGTGCTGACATTCTGTGTTTTCAGTTTTTGTTTTAAAGACTTTATCTTATTAAAAAAAAATTTTTGTTTTTACATTTACTTATTTTTGAGAGAGACAGAGAGACAGAGCATGAGCAGGGGAGGGGCAGGCAGAGAGAGACACACACACACACACACACACACACACACACACAGAATCGGAAGCAGGCTCCAGGCTTTGAGCTGTCAGCACAGAGCCCGATGCAGGGACTGAACCCATGAACTGTGGGATCATGACCTGACCTGAAGTCGGATGCTTAACTGACTGAGCCACTTGGGTGCCCCAAGACTTTGTTTAAAAAAAATTTTTTTTAATGTTTATTTTTGAGAGAGAGACAAAGCGTGGGCAGGGGAGGGGTAGAGAGAGTGAGAGAGTAAGAGAGAGCGAGAGATTGAGACAGACACAGAATCTGAAACAGGCTCCAGGCTCTGAGCTGTCAGCACAGAGCCCGACACAGGGCTCGAACTCATGAGGTGTGAGATCATTGGCCTGAACCGAAGTCGGACGCTTAACCGACTGAGACACCCAAGCGCCCCTATTTTATTTTTAAGTAATCTCTACGCTCAGTGGGGGGGCTTGAACTCACAACCTCAAGATCAAGAGTCGGATGCTCTACTGAGTGAGCCAGCCGGGTGCCCCACATTCTGTGTTTTTTGTTTTTTTTTTTTAATCTCGTTTATCTTCACACAATTCTATTGTTAGCCCCACTTTACAAATGAGGAAGCGGAGGCTCAGAGAGTGTAGGTAACGGTCCAAGGCCACACAGCAAGGAAAGGGCAGCCTAGGAACGCTGCCCGGCTTTTCCGCGCTTTTTATGCTGCACGCCTGTGCTAATCACGTCCAGCTCCTTTCCCTGCGCCCTCTGAGAGTCAGTCTCCAGGTCCCCTCCCCCTCCACGCTCAGCCTCCCTTGGAGACACAGAGCAAGACCGTGGCGCCTGGAGGAGATCACGACACTCCACGTGTGGCCTGCCCAGGTCACGGTACGCGCCAGAACCTGGGAACGTCGTTTCTCATTCGTGGACCCTGTGCCTCGTTTGCTCTGTGGGCGGAGTCCCCAGTGCCCTCCCCGCCCCCTGTCCTCCTGTCAGCTGAAAGTGTTGTGTGAGGGCTTAGTGGTGACAAGGTAACGGGCAGCGGGGGCCGAGCGGTGTCGGGGGACAGCAGAGGTCTGGCTCACCAGTGGGGAGGTGCCTGTAGTAGTAGATGACGGGGTGGAGGAAGTTGGACTGCCACGCGTCTTCCGTGTGCCCCACGGACCGGTCATGAAAGAAGACGTCCTTGTCGGGCCCAGAGAAATTTCTGCCATACTCCATGTTGATGACGAAGAGCCCGTGCCTGGCCCTCCTTCCTGTGATGGTCTCCAGCTGGGCCAGCATCTGCACGGGGAGCTCCTCCAGGTACTCAAACGCCGTGGCGTTCCTGGGGATAAGGGCAGTGCGGGTGGCCAAGACCCTCAGTGCCGCGGCAGAGGTGGGGTGGGCGCGCGCGTGTGCCTCTCGTGCAATTGTCTACGGGCTCCGATTGTTCTGCACACACCTCACTTGAGCCTTACTATCACAGCTGAACCCCGACTTACACGGGAGACAGGTTCCAGAAAACTCTGAGTAACACCTGAAAGGTATCTGGGGAAAGGGTGACCCGGGCTGAGAGGCCAGTCACGGAAAAGCCCCGGGAGGGAGCCTGGGTGTCTTCGAGGGACGGGAGGCAGGCTGGCCTCGAGCAGAGGGGCAGGAGAAGGGCTGGGGGCAGGTCGAGGAGAGCTTGTGGGTGCCATGACGGGAACGCTCGGTTTCACGTGGGTTCTCCCACTCGCTTTCTCCCTGAGAAGGGAAGGCCACCGGCCCCTGGAGAGTGCTGTGCAGAGATGAACGTGTGTGACTCGGGTTTTAAGAGGACCGCCCGGCCGCTGTGTTGAAAGCAGACCATGGGCAGAGGTGCGAGGCCGTAGGTGGTTCAGGTGAGAGATGCTGGGGGGCTGGACCAAGGCGGTGCCACCGGGGTGGGTGAGGGGTGGTCAGATTCCTGACAGAATTTGAAGGCAGCGCTTACGGGGTGTGGGGCGGGTCGGAGTGTGGAGAGTGAATATGGAAGAGAGGAGTCAGGGTGCGGGGTGTCTTGTGCTGAGCACAGGCGAATTCCTCGTGTGTCCTTGAACTTGGCGAGCTGTCGCCTTCCCTGGCTTTGGGTCAGGCTGCTCCCTCTGAGAGATGCCCCCTGCGTCTGACCTGTCCTCTGAGCACCCTCCTCCGTCCCTGCTCTGCCGTGTGTCGTCTGTGATCTGCCACCTGTCACTTAACCGATAAGGAGACAACACGGTCCTGGCCTGAGGGAGACCCTTCATCCGCATCGCTGCGGTTTACTGCTCATCTGCTCAGTGCCAAGTGCGGTCTACCAGTTGCCTTTACTCCTGCCTGCAACGTAAGGGTTATTATCCCCGTTCCGCAGATGCGGGAAAGGCTCAGAGAGGCTAAGTGACTTGCCCAAGGTCACACAGGCAGAAAGCGGCAGAGCTGGGAGGCACACCCGGGTCCGTCTGTCTGTCTGTCGAGCTTGTGGTGTTGATTTCGTTGATTTCCGCCCCCCACCCCGCCCCCGCGCCCTGAAGGCTTCACTTAGGAGGGCACCACTGGGCCACTCCATGCCGGGGACAGGCAGAGAAGAGCTCCGACCTGTGAATGGTGGAGCTGGGCTACTCACTCCTTCAGCAGGACGACATCGGCCAGCACGCCGAACATCTGGTAGAGCCCAGAAGCCTCGTTGATGCGCCGGACGATGGAGCTCGTCAGCTGTGAGACGGGGTGCTCAGCGGAGGGCCAGGCGACGCCGTGGTGGCGATGCTCCAGCAGGCGGTGGACGGCACGCGCTGAAATGGCCAGAGGGAGGAACAGCATGCCATACTTCAGATTTCATCTTTCACCAGCCCGAGGGATGCACGGCCCCTGTCAACCTCTTGGGGCTCAGTAACGCTTGTGTGCGGGGCTCCAAAATGCCTCTGGCGGGGCGCCTGGGTGGCTCAGTCGGTTAAGCATCCGAGTGTTGACCTCGGCTCACGTCATCATCCCACAGTTTGTGAGTCCGAAGGCCGTGCTGGGCTCCGTGCTGGCAACTTGGAGCCTGCTTGGGATTCTCTCCATCTCCTCTCTTGCTGGCCCTCCCCAGTTCTTACTCTGTCTCTCAAAATAAATAAACTTAAAAAAAAAAAAAAAAAAAAGAACATGCCTTTGGAGCAGAGTCAGTCAAGGTTTCCCACCAAGGGCCAGATGGGCCGTATTTTGGGCTCTACAGCCCGGTCGGCTGCACTACTCAGTTCTACTCCCAGCGCGAAAACAGCCCGAGTGGGTACCTGAATGGATGGGAGTGGCTGGATCCGGCTCCAGGCCAGAGTGGGCCCGGCCCCGCTTTAGGCCCCCTGCCCGTGGATGTCCCACGCTACCCCTCACAGGTGCTAGGTCAACCCCGGACCCTGAGCCTCCCTCTGACCCCGCTCCCCTTCCCGGGGTTTTGTTCCCCTCAGAGACTCCCAGCTGGGAAACCTTTCAGTGCCTCCCGTCCTCCAGAGTCTAAATCCAAGCTGTCCCTAAATTCTACTGATGGAAGGACAGCACAGTGACAGCTGTCTGAAATGACAGGGAGATGTTCTGCCGCGTATCTGGGGCTGCCGTGCAGTTGTGGGATCGGGCTTGCTCTTCCAAAACACATCAACACGATATCCAAATCCGAGAAAGGCAAGAACACAGACAGACCACTCGCGTGACGGGAGACTCAGCTGGCCAACAGTCACGGGAGAGGCTGTCCGGCCTCCCCAGATACCCGACTCTGGAGGAAACGATGGCTAAGCTGAGTTTTGCACAAGGTCGAGGAACCGCGCAGCCAGTGGGGTCTGGGGAGGGTGCCCCAATCTTGGGAGAGCCTGGCACGTTCTGAAAAGCAGGCAAGGGACCAGGCTGGAAAGGTGAGCTGGCAGGGGCCTGGCAAAGCTTGGTGCGGCATGCCAAGGAGCTGGAGCCTTCCCTGGGGGAGGAGGGGAGCCACTAAGAGCGGCTTAAGCTGTAAGCAGGGGAAAGAGAAGATTTTTTTGTTTACAGAAAGGGTGTTTTGGCAGGCAGCTGGAAGAGATACAGGAGGGGGCCGGGCCGGGCGTCTGGCCTGTCCTTCCGTGTGGTATTGGTCTGTGCCGTTCACATTTTATCTTCTGTTGCTTTCCTCTGCCTTACTGTTTGCTTCTGGTCTCCCGTGGGACCCGTTTCTCGGGTCTGAGCAGGATGTGTGGGCCACGTCACCCCTCCCCCAGCAGGATCCTCAGCCGGTAGTAGTGACCACACAGCAACCCAGGACTGCTTCCCATTTGCCTGGAGCTTCGTGGTCGGCTGTGAGCTTTAGAATCAGACACGTGTGCATTCGTATTACCCTTCTGCCAACTGGCTCGGTGACTCTGGGCAAGTTACTTAAGTTCTCTGTGCCCCAGTTTCCTTATCTGGAAAAATGGTGCAGAAATAACAGCGGTGCCGTGAGGATTAACTATGTGAGCTGGGGAAAGGTCAGGGGACCGAAGGAAGGAGGTGGGGGTGGGCAGGATCTGTCAGGAGAGCAGGTGCAGGGAGGGTAACATGCATGGGAACAATGATGAAGGTTTTTTTTTCTGTAAGAAAATTTTTTTTAACGTTTATTATTTTTTTTAATTAATTTTTTTTTCAACGTTTATTTATTTTTGGGACAGAGAGAGACAGAGCATGAACGGGCGAGGGCAGAGAGAGAGGGAGACACAGAATCGGAAACAGGCTCCAGGCTCCGAGCCTTCAGCCCAGAGCCCGACGCGGGGCTCGAACTCACGGACCGCGAGATCGTGACCTGGCTGAAGTCGGACGCTTAACCGACTGCGCCACCCAGGCGTCCCGTAACGTTCATTTTTGACACAGAGAAAGAAAGCGAGCAGGGGAGGGGAAGAGAGACAGGGAGACACAGAATCTGAAGCAGGCTTCAGGATCTGAACTGCCAGCACCGAGCCCGACGTAGGGCTCGAACCCACAGACCGTGAGATCAGGACCTGAGCCAAAGTGAGATCATGACCTGAGCCGAAGTCGGACACTTAACTGACTGAGCCACCCAGGCGCCCCAAGGATTTCTTATCGGGGAGACACAGCTAAAGGGACAGATGCTTCTCCTTCTGGGTGTGTGTGTTTGTATTCGATCTGTGGATATTTTGGCTTATAGACGGGAAACACTCTCTCTGGTTTCCTTCTCCGACAGCACCCATCACCCGTGGGCCATAAAACACATTGTCTGGAAATCAAACATGGTTATTTTTCCCTGCCAAACAGGAAGGATAGTCAAATGCAAAATTGAACATTAAGCCACTAGGAGTCATCAAATTAAACACGGAAATGCCAGGATGCGGGAAGCCTTGTGGTGACTATGGCAAAGTCAACTGGTCCACATAACACTCACCATGCAACCAAGTACCCATCCAATAGCCCGCCTGAGGTGCAGAAGATTTATACTCTCACGACTGATTTAATTCGACCGCAATTTTGACTGAAATTTGTTGGTACCCAGAGAATCTGTGTGTAATGCTTCATAGCTACAGGTCCCCGGGTATTGCCTTATTTAGTCCTTACAACAGCCCCGAGGGCGGAAGGTTCACCTCGATTACATCTCTGATGTCAGGCCGTCCAGATGAGGCTTCTAGAGAGGTCATAAAGCCTCACCTCTCAGACCACCCAGCGGGGGAGGAACCCACATCAGCACCCCCCAAGCTTGGCCTTCTTGCCAATACCTGGTACCTCGCTGGCATGGGATTCAAGCATGTAACTTGCCAACTCCCAATGTACTTAACTTTCATACCTTATCTGACACTTTCCTAGACAAATTACTCAGACCACAAAAACATGCTGCCATCTGTCCCGGACAGATCGACCTATCGACTACTGATAAGCAATCTCATCGAGGCTGCTGGAAATCAGGAGTATGTTTATAAACCCTGGGGTTTATTCTCTCTGCCGGGCTCACCTGTGTATCGGAATCCATGAATGAAGCCCCCGGCCGATTTCCGGTAATCCACCGAGTGGCTGGCGGTACCCAGGACAAAGAGACCCCGGCTTCCTTTGGACTCATAGCTAGCTTTCACCAGCGGGTACTTCTTGCTGAACTCACCCCCAGAAGACAGTCGGAGGGACCTGTGAGCGGAAAGTGTGGTTAACAGAAATCACTGCTGTGTATGAAACACGTATGCTGCGCTCAGCCCTGCGCTAAGTCTAAGTGCTTTATATCCCTTGTTGCATTTAAACCACACCATGACCTTGGAAGGTGGGTATGATTATCTCTACTTAACAGACGAGGACAACCGAGGCTCAGGTTGAAGTTGTGGCGGGTCAGGGATGGGGCCAGGATTCAAGCCTGACTGGAGGCTTAGGCTCTGGGCTCTGACTTAATGGGATGGCAGTCTGGTTGAGGCCTTCCAGCTTCTCCTTGTCCGCCCGTGCTCTGGCCAGAGAAAAGTGAGACACTGGACGGATTCTTTAATACCAAACCTTGCCAAGGTACTGGGACAGCGATGTCTAAAGCAAGGTAGTTCACAATCCTAAGTGACGTTGGCAGCCACCATTTTGTTAAGCATAGAATATGTGCCGAGTACTTTCTGGATTAATCCTCACAGTGGCCCTGTGAGAAAATATGATCCTCGTTTTAGTGATGAAGAGACCAGATGCAGCACGGTTAAGTAACTGTCCCAGAGCCCGCAGATTTGCCAAGTGGAGAATCTCAGACCGACACCAGTGCCTGCGTCCTTAGCCACCTTGCAGCAAATTCACCATTTTATTCTGCCTCGGCTCATCTTCCCCTCTCTCCGGTGGAAGATCACAACGCAGACAAAGACCCGCCGTTGCTGCTGCTACCCGGTGGAGGGCCTCAGGGCCTTCGGTCCCTGTGAGGACAGACAGCTCATGTCCTGGGTGGGAGATGAGGCAGCAGCTACATCCACTGTGACGACACAGTCCTGAAAGCCGTCGCTGGCCCACTGGATGGTGACTCCCCCCCCCCCCCCCCCCCCCCCCCCCCCCACCCGCCCCCGCAGGGGAGATATCAGAAGGGATTTGCTAAGTGATCCCAGCTCCTCCCCCGTTTGGACTCACTTGTCGAAAATGGAGAAGTCGAAGTTCCAGCCCAGGCAGCGGATGACCCGGTCGTAGGCCACGCGCATGGCGAAGTTGTCATTGTCGTCCTGGGGGAGGGTGATGGCGTCGGCGCTCTGGTTGCCTTCCTCCAGGAAGAACTTCAGGGTGACGCGGAACTTGCCCTCACGGTCCTTCACGATGGCCAGATCCGTCAGGTCGGACTCCAGCAACCCGTCCAAGGACTTCAGCTGGTAGGTGTCCAGCAGGCCGTTGTTGATGGCCCTGGGGCCCAAGGGAAATGCCAAGAGAGAGAAAGGAGTCCGCACGGGGGACAAGGAGGCTCAGAGGAAGGGGTGGTTGGTCCGGTGGGGTCAGGAAGGGCTTTCGATCCACAAGCAGCCGCGCAGCATACCTGAGGTCTCCAACATAGTGGGTGGCCCAGGACAGCCGGACGCGGGAGCGACTCAGCATGTGGATGAAGTTGGTGACACCCAAGATGTTCTCTGCTGTCTCAAAGGCAGAGTTCCCCCGCCCCAGGATCAGCACATTCTGACCCTCGAAGTCCTTGGGGTCCACGGACACAGACTCGTATCCCTCCGTGTATTCGGAGCCCGGGAAGTCAACCTGGTTGGGGACCGACAAACCGGTGGCTACCAGAAGGACGCTGCAGGGAGGGGACAGAGGGAAGATGGCTTAGTCTCTCAGCCGTGAGACTACTACGTGAAAAGCATTCCTTGGATTAGCTGCCTGGCTTGCCCACCTCGCGCAGGCTGCTGGCTCCTGAAAGAACACAGGAGAACGTCCATTCCTTCATCCATTTAGGGACCCACCCCCGAGTATCAGAGACGTGACCCCCACCCTCGCTGAGCCCACCCTAGCGGACAGTCTCCTTTCCATGTTCCTGGGATGATCCCAGACATGAGAATCAACCTGACTCCCTGAGGTGACACGTGAGAAATAGAATCGTTCACCTAATTTTGGACACAGCCGTTAGGGCCACTGTCACCCGCAGGGGTGCAAGGGTCCAAGCTGGCACTACCCTTCTTTCCCCGGGGCTGTAACAAGCAAGGAGCAAGGCTGGGCCTCCGGCAAAAGGCATGAGAATTTGAACTCTGGGCACCTGCCTGGAGCCGGGTGCCAGGCTAATGGCCAGGAAGGGAGGGGGCAGTCTGGTACAGCAGAAAGAACACAGGTTTTGGGGTCAGGAAGACACAGTCTGGGTCAGACTGCAGCTGGATCGCTGATAAACTGTGTGACACAGCGCCGGTTAATCAACTTCTCTGGGCCTCAATTCTTCATCTGTAAAACTGGGACCAGAGAACTCCCCGCCAGGGTCCTTGCGGGGATTAAATAAGGGCAGTGCGGTGCGTGACCCCGAGTTTGGGCTGTCTACACAATATCGGGCTTTGTCCCAAGCCAAAGCCAGCCAACACCGAATGCTGGTGGCACTGCCTGTTGGACCTCTCACTCTTGTTCAGTCCTGAAATCCCACCGAGCCCATCCAACACTTGCTGGATGTTTTTCCCACAATGTATTTTGGGGAACACCAGTTCTAGGAGATGCTCTGCCCAAAGAGCTTTGTGGGTACATATGTTTAGGCAATGCTGAATGCCCAGTGCCAGAGTGCCACAGTGAACACGAAGGTCTTAAACACTGACAAATCCTGCAGGAAAGAGCTGGTAAGTATCTTCCACGCACATTTGATCATAATTTTTTTGGACACATTTGGGCAACGTTGGGTGAGCTGAACCCCTTAGCACTGGATTTCAGTGGGAGCAAGGAGTGGCAGAAATGCGCATATTCTCTCATTTCTTCCAAACCTACCCGCCAACCAAGGGGTGGCAGCAGATCGGCTCCGGGGCCAGGTTCCTTACCTGCACCGGTGTGCGTGGCCCATCTGGTCCGTCAGGATGAAGTAATGGCCGTTCCAGGCCTGCCGATCCTTGTTCAGAGTGACGTGGGCAATGGTCGTGTTGTACAGCACGTGGAGCCCCAGCCTGTCTGCGAAGTCATCCAGGTAGCGCACCATGTCGCCCGCATCGGGGAAGTAGGCGCTGGAGTAGTGTCTGAAGAGCAGCCGGGGGTCGTGGCTGAGCAGAGAGTTCCAGTCGTGGCGGAGGTTGAACTCGGCGTTGGCCTTGCCCGTGTGCCGCTTGTTGATGCTGATGAGCTTGCGGTGGCGTGGGTAGCGCGTGAAGAAGCTGCCGGGCCGCGGGGCGCGCTCAAACACCGCGTAGTCCCTCCCGGCCCGCTGCAGGAAGTAGGCCATCTGCAGGCCCGCGGGCCCGGCGCCCAGGACGCAGTAGTCCCGGTGCGGGGGCCCCGAGGTCGGGGCTGGGCGCAAGCACAGAGCCGGGTGCAGGGCGAAGGTCAGGAGCAGCCCGGGCGGGCCCCACAGCCCGGCCGCGGCCAAGAGGCTCATCCTGTGGCAGACCAGGGATGTGGGGTCTTGCACCCTGGTTGGTCCCTCCAGGACCGGGGAGATGGGCGAAGGGCTGGGGACCGAGAGAGGGGCAGGGGCTCGCCCACCGCAATCTGAAGTCGGGCCAGGACCACACCCCAAGGCCCTCTGAGCTCATTTGCCTGCCTTCATCCTTTCAAGCTCGAATCTGGGGCTCCCCCCAGGCATCCCTAACGCCTCCATCTCCTCCAGGGCCTCGGTTCCCAGGGGCGCCACCCTCTTTCTTATTGCCATAGTAGTACGAGGGCGGGTGTTCCCCCATTCCTCCCCTAATTTGAGGGTGCCCAGCACCCTTCCCCGGCCCTCCCCAGCTGAGACCCTCGAGGTACGCCTCTTTGGCCACGCCCCCGTCCTCAGGTCCTGGACCGGAGGAGGTGTGGCCTGCACGAGCCCCGCCCCCTCCAGGTGCTGGGCGCGCCGGGCACCCCGGTCACGTGACAGGGATGCCCCAGAACACCTGTCGCCACGCGGCGCTAGGCCTCAGTCCTGCCGGCGCGGGCTCCCCGGGGGCCGCTCCCCACGCGTGCGCCGTGCCCACGTCTGCAGCACCCACTTCCCTGCACGGAGCGCGAACGTCCCAGCCGCACGGGAGGCAGCCCGCAGTCGACTGGGGCCGCGCTCTGCCCGCGGGCGCCTCGGCGGCCCCGCCCCTCCCGCCCGGCCAATGGCAGAGGGCGGGGGTCACGTGCGCGGCGCGCAGCACGCCGGGACGGGCGGGGGGGCCGCGGGCTCCCGGCCGCGCACGTGCTGCCAGCGGGCTGGGCCGCCTGAGGCTGGTGGCGCTGGGGATCGCGGCGCTCTTGGGGCGCCGGGCTCTCGTTTTAAAGCTGTACGTCTCCACGTGTAGGTGAGGCACAGGGGCAGGTGACTTTTGGAGATAAACCCAGTTCTTACACTCTGCTATTAACGTCGCTAAAGACTTGTTGGCTACCCAGTTTGGGGAGTCTGGAAGCCAGGTTAGTGAAGTCAGGACAGAAAAAAGAAATTAACAGGTGTTTGCTACAGGGATTTAGTCTGTTGTTTGCAAAGTAACATCCGTGATTGGCTGACTGTCCCACCAACCCGGATAAGCAGGCGATTCTGTTTCCTACATTGTGTAGCCACTGGCCAAAATGGAAGTTTAGGAGCGATTTGCTTGAGACCACCCAGTTCGGTGGAACCTGGAATTCACCCCTCCCCTTTTACTCCAAATTATGAGCTCTTTCCAAAAGGTTTCTAATTCATGAGTCATGTGTTGTGTTCTTGGTAATGTTGTAAACAAAGGGGCCTGTGATAGGCCAGTATAGACGCAAATCCACTGCTAATTCACTGCAACTGGGTGTGGCTGAAGCACGCAACGCGGATGGCCGATGATGGAGAACCGCTTTTCGGGTGAACTGGCTGATGGAGGTTGGCTTTGCTGAGGTGGAATGTGGATCCTGCATTAGATTTACCGGGCAGAACATAGGCAGTTTTGAGAATACAGAAACCTTCAAGGGGGCGTTAAGCAGTTCGGTGAGACGGGGTCAATAGTGCTCCTGGTTAGGGCAGCCATGCCTAGTGTGGAAAGAACTCTGCGATCTAGCTTCGCATGGCTGGAGCCTCTAGTTAAAAATTGTCCCTGGGTCCTCTAGAGAAGTCTCCCTTGATCTCTCAGAACAACGTATCCACTAAGGAATGCCACTCATCTATTTATAGGTTGTATCCACATCAGAGAAAAGTTCCATAGAGCAGAAATGATCTTATTCACTCTGGTGACCTCAGTGCTTTCTCCAGTATCTGGCAAACAGGGAGCCATCAGTAAGCATTTGTGGACTAAACACCAAAACCAGACGGGCTATGCCAAGTACCTAACCAAAACTAAGGTAGGAAGGTCTGCTTCTTACTGGTTGTGAAGACTTGAGAATATGTGCTGGCAAGTAACGAAGTACCTGAAATAGTTACTGGTCTTATTTGGGGAGTGGTGGGAAATCTGGCCTGATAAAGCAGGGCAGGGCCTTGAGAGTAGGCTGACCCTGAATTACAGGCAGCAGTGGAAGGTTTTGGAGTCGGGACTGAAGCAGTGCAGCTTGATGGCCCCAAGCAGGATGGACAGAGGTAGGGGATAGAGAAAATAAATGAAGCGTGTGGAAGCCGGTGTCAAGGTTTCAGAGACCAGGGCTGGAACTAACTTCCACCTGTCCCCCTCCCCCAGTGAATCCCGCTGGACCGCATCATGGGGCTGCAAGAGGCAGTTTGGGGGAGTACCAGGCCCAGGTCTGAAAGCCCATGGCGCTTGTCACACCACTTTTAACAATCTATTTCACAGACTCCCCAGGAAGCATGTTTCATGCACTAGCTAACGTGAACAGGAATAAACGTTTCATTGCCTTTTGAGGCTCAATTACTTTGGTTAAATGGTAACTTCAGGAAGGTTACCCAAAAGCTGAGCCTGTTTCCTCATCAGTACACTGATGTCACTTCGACCAGCATTACAGTTTGGGCTCAGGCTCAGATGATGTATTTATAGAAAGCTTAGTATACCTGGCAAGGTAATTACTTCCTAGTGTCCAGAACAGAACACTATTCATTTATAAAACTTTACAGGGATGCCCAGGTGGCTCAGTTGGTTAAGCGTCTGACTCCTGACTCGTCATTTCAGCTCAGGTCATCGTCCATGGGACTGAGCCCTGTGTCGGGCTCTGCACTGACAGGGCAGAACCTGCTTGGGATTCTCTGTCCCTCCCCAGCTCGCATGCTCTTGCTGTCAAAATAAACATTAAAAAAAAAAAAAAAGTCTGCATACCCTAAGCACCTGTGGCAGATTTATGACACATTGCTTTGAGGGTGCCGGCTTAAGACTGTCACCTGCCCGAACCAAACTTCAAAATAATTTACAAACCATTGAGCATCACCCACTGGAACATCCATCAGAGTCTTGTGGGGCAGTCTTCTAAAAAAGCAGCACACCCACCTCGACCTTCCAAGACCGTGCCCTGCTTTACCTTTCACTAGGGAGTTATGTCTCCCAGGGGCAACAGACGGGTCTGGCGCACAGCCAGCAGGCACCCACGTCTGTGGAAATGGACCTCCTATGGGGACCTCCAGGAGGCCCTCACAACTGATGACACTCCCCAGCAACGGTTTGTTGTCAGGGGGGTCCAGGAACGAAAATACCTAGGGCACTCACCCTTTAACAGCGGTGTGACGTGAATAACTCTCAAGAACAAATGAAGGAGCCGTGATTATGAACTCCAGGTAGAAAACTGCCGTATCTCACCTCCCTCTTCCAAAGGCTATGGGGGGAGGGGGGGGGAAATGGCTGCCGGTCACAATGTCAGCACGTGATGAAGGTAAGAGACTGAACAGTTACACTTTATTCTCCCTGTTCAACTCCAGAGGGCAAGCAAGCAAACAAGCATCCTGCTAGGCCTTGGATGCCCTTCTAGGCTCAGTGGGACAAATTCCAGCTCCGCGTCACCGTCTGGTTTAAGTTTCTTCCTCTGAAAGACACAAAAAGGTTAGAGAAATGAGCCATGCCGTATGGTGAGCTGCTTAGGATTGTCACCACCTCCACTCCGAAGCCTTTCGGTTCCTCGTGGGGCCAACGCGTTTCTGGTGAAGCAGGGAGAGGCGGCTCTGGGCCCACGTGACTAGCCCAGAGCCCATCTCTCCTCCTCAGACCCCTGGGATCTAAAGGCTCCTGAAAGCAGCTCCCGGTGCCAGACTGGAGGCTGCCCCAAAGTCCGGTCTCGGAACCGTCAGCAAGTTTTACATCAAGGCTACAGAGAGAGATTGGTGGCCACGAGGCTCAGGCCCTAGCCAGCCTACAGCTCACTCCAGGCTTCAGAACGAGGCCTGCCACACACCTTCTTCCTCCTCCTCCTCCTCCTCCTCTTCCTCCTCGTCCTCATCAGAGCTGAACGTGCCGTCGGGCAGGCTGTAGACGCGGATGACCTGCTTGTTGGGGTCCTTCAGGATGAGGTACTTGCCCTCCTCCAGCTTCATGCAGATGTCGATGACACAGCGCAGGATGCCCCAGGCGTTCTCGACGCTCAGGTTGATCTGGCTGGCAAACTCATTGGGCTTGAACTGCTGGGTGCCCAAGATGACGTGGCGTGAGGAGTCTTTCACGTGGTACCGGGACACGTAACTAGCGGGGTGGGGGTGGGGGGAAGGG